CACACACACACAAACACCCATTCTTAAGTAATGGGCAAGAAAGCCCATGACTGTTTTTCTGTTTGCTGCTTGTCTGCTACTGATTCCTACCTACTCTGTGATGCCCGCCTATGCCATGCCGCCATGTCTTAGGGCCAGCCAATTATGGATTGAAATCTCTTCAAATTGTGAGCCAAAATAAACCTATGCTTCTTTAACTTGGGTGTCAGGTTTTTTGTCTCAGCAACAAAAAATGTAACTAAGACACTGTATGATAGCAGACAGAAGCTCACATGCTACTAAAGGAAACGACAAACATACTCTAAACATACTCTAAAGTCGCAAAGGCCGACTAAGGCACTTCTCTCACACCTTAGTGATCAAAGTGAGTAGGAATAGGAATTTATTTAATAATGGGTAATGATTCCACAGGGAAATACTAGTTTGACCAGCTAATCACTACATTTTAATACAAAAGGTAGCTTGCTCAGTGCCTGACAGTCAAAACAGAAAGGTAATAGATTACTTGTTATCCCATTTAAAAGTAGGCAGAATTCACCACAGAAGCAAATTAGCCTAGACTAAAGTGGAGAAAGAATTTATCACTTGGATAAGTTCAATGATACAATGTATATTGCCTAATACCTTAGCTATAAATCTGATTGACTCTCATAAAAATTATCTTCAAATCACTTTTTCTTTTTGAGACAGGGTCTTGCTATTTAGCTCTGGCTGGCCTTCACTAACTATGTGGCCCAGGCTGGCCTAAAACTTGTGACAATCCTGCCTAAGCCTCCAGCCTCCAGAGTGTTGGAAACATATGTTAGTTGTTGACAATGCTTGAAAGAGTAAAATGGCACCAGCAAAGTTACGTTGTAACTTGTTTACTTGTGAATGCTACTGTGAACTAAAAGTAATTTTTAGGGGCCTGCCCCTTAGCTCAGTTGGTTAAGTGGCTGCTTCAACAAAGCAGTCAGCCTCAGGTTGCTGTGGTTCGATCCCCACAACTCCAGCCAGCCAAACAGGCCCTGAAGGCATTCTGAGCCA